AACATATTGACTCTAACATTATATTTTAAAATTGATCCAAGATTGAGAGATATTTTTTGTCGGTGACATAAAAAAATGTGCTAATCAAACAAGAATATTTTAAGGATAGGGTATGGGTAACGGCAAATAAAATCAGAGATACTTCTTTAGTATAATTTTGCTCTGTTCAATATTCCAAGATGTTTATGCGTTAAAAAAATTAATTGCCAATCTGAGATATACACATGTTCAATATGGTTACAACCCTATTAATTATTATTTGATTAGATAGTGAGGATCAAAAAATAGCCCTTAAGAGAGACATCCATTATAATCATTTATTATATGCCATATTAGCCGCCATTGAAAAACATTTAGTACAAATGCTTTTATGGCTGAATTCTATGTGGAATTTTTGTTGGGAATGCACGATGAGCAGGGGTCTTGAAATAATCTTTTTATTTATAAATATCACATTAAATTACAACTAAAATTTGATAGGACATTTTATAGTATAGTTTGGAAATAATAATTAGGTTAATAAAATATAAATAGTAGTGTACATATGAGGTTAAATAAAATATAATAATTATCTGAAATCTGAATGTTGAAATTCAATATATTATTATAAATACATTTATTGTAAAAAAAACAAATTGCCTAATCAATAGGTGTGTGGTGCAGGAATTAATCGGGGAGCACTTTACCAATATGTGGGAATATATAATAAATTTACAAGGGAGCATATTATTTTCTGTAAAAGGATTTGTCAATATAATTTAAACTAATATCACTTGACGATATTCTGAGTAGGATACATTTAATCCATTATAATTAAAAATAGGATATATGGCCTGGCCCAGATAAATTAAAATAAAATACCAGGCTGGCCTGCAGATCTTGTGAAAATTCTGATCATAAAGAAATAATATGGAAGTATATATATTATATTTTATGGGCTAAATTTAATATGATTAGATATTATTTATAAAGTACAAACCTTTATATACAAATTTATTAAAAGAGTAAACATATTTTTAGAATTAAGAAAAAGCTCTGGCGTGTCTTAGTTCCATTTATTTTTGATACTTATGTTTAGCAGGCTAAATAGCTTTTGACATTTTAAGTCCATACAAGCTCACATATTTTAAAATATTAGTCACTCTAAAACTGTTTTTTTAATTTTAAAATATTGACTAAACACTTTAAAAAAAATGTATATACAGATTTTTATTATGCCATTAGATAAGATAGTGACAAAAAAAATCAATGTAAATATTGGTATTAAGGCTTTTTGGGATAAAAATCAGAAAATATTTGATTGGTGCAGCTATAAAATAAAGCAATGCAGGCCAACATATTGCTTTTTATAAACAATTTTAAAAAAAGATAATTTATTAGTTTTTTCAATATTTAAATTTATTATGCATAAAATGGATATATTCTTTAATTTATATCATGTTTATAAGATTAATAATTGAATCAATATCTACTATTAATCTTAGTGTTATTTATTTTGTGAACAGTTTTCAATTGTTAAAATAATATATATTTATTCTATTATTTATAAATATTATTGTTTACTTAACATATCATATGTTTATAGTATATTATAATATATTAGAATTAGGTAATAGCTTTGGAGGTGGAATCGGGAGTTCTCCACTTTCAATTCTTTGTGATAGAAGTGAGTTGGCAAAGACTCCACCATCACTTTGGCCCCCATAGCTACCAACATCTGTAACCATAAATTTATCAATATGATTAAAAAATGCTTTAAGGATTAATGAGAATCTATGCTTGTAATTAAAAAATTGAGTTCTTGAATGTGGAGGCTTTTTTGTCTTACAATGTTTCCCATCAATGGCACCTAATAAAATATTAAAATAGTAAGAAATAAAAAAATAATTGTCTTTTGCTTGATTTAAATAAAATTACAACCTATACAGTTTGGGAAGTTCCACATTTCATCAAAGCCTGCAACTTCCTCAGACATCTCCAATGATGGGACCTTTATATGGATGGGTTGCATAACATCCCATAAAGCTTTGGTTTTTATTCCTGTTATTTGTTTTATAGTAGATACCCCTAGTATAAGAATAAGCCATGGTGGCATATGAATCTCCAGTCGCAAGGTATCTAGATTAAATGAAGTATTAAGAAATTAGCATAAAAATGTATTTCAAAATTATAAAAATTAGTAATAAGATTATAATATGTATGATAAAAATAATATTAAGTGCTTAAACTTATATTAATATAAGGGTTAAATCTCAATATTAATTATTTTAATATATATGAAAGCTAATTTATATATTTATAAGAAATAACCAAGTTATAAAAAAACTATAATTACCTTAGGGTAATCATCAACTTTTCATCTGGTGTTATAAGATTCTTTATAAAATTCGTTTTCTTTTTAGTAATTTTAACTTTTATAAGTTCTAATATGTAATAAAAGGTTTCCTATTTTTTTATAGTGGAATTATGAAAATACTATATTTAAAAATATACTCACTTTTTTCATAAGCATATAATTATAAAACTTTTCATCATTTTTAAGTAATTTATTTTGGCAGCAAAGTAAAATACTCTCCCTCCTTGTCTTCTTTTCGAATTAGCTGAATATTTTTCTTTCTTGAATAAGAGACCATATATAATATATATTTTAACCAAAGAATATTGGTTCATTTAAAAAAAATAAAATAATGTCTAATCGGTCTACCTGTTTTAGGCTGCATTCATAGTGGAGACAGATCCGATTTTACATCCGTTCCGTCAAAAGTCAATCTCATTAAAAATGATATATATGTTCATAGTGCGTCCGTTCCGATACCTTCCGTCTTAAAAACGGATCCGGCAAATTTTGAAGTCAAAACATTTTGACTTTTTGATCCGGCAAATCTTATAGAGCGTTATAACGTTACTTACAATTTCTTTATAGTCTATGAACATTTATATCATTTTTAATGAGTTTGACTTTTGACGGAACGGATGTAAAAACGGATCCGTCTCCACTATGAATGCAGCCTCAATCCGAAACGTTAAAAAAATTCACTATGATAGCCTTGTGGACGCAGGTCAAATCAGATTTTTGATTTCAATCGCATCCGTCTCCACTATGAATGCAGCCTCTAGCATAATATATGATAATACAATACAACTTTTGATATACGGTGCTTTTAACAACTTCAATTATTTTATAATTGGACAATCTGGCTAAGGGTTACTTAACTAGGTTCTTCAGTAAGTTCACGAATATGCCCACCAACTTCTTTAAAAAATAATGCTCTAACATTATTTTTTTAAAAGACATTTCGTATGTCTATAATTTTATATTTGTACGTGCCTGCACAAAATAGCATGGCGGCTTTTCAGTTTATAAAAAAAAAAATTTTCCATTAATTGAATAGATGTCGCTAAATATTTTGATGACTAGTTATAAAATTATTTGCAGCATTTAAAAATTATAAATACGTTTTAAAATCAACATCATAAGAATGCGACAAATACACCAAACATATAGGCTTGAACGATCGAAGATAGAGTGGTATACCATATTTAATTACAAAAACATACCTAAATCCCAGTATATTTGTCCATCAATATGTTTCCGATAATACGTGGTTATCTATCCCCATTTCGACCTTTCAGTTTATAAGAAACTATTTCATTTTGAATATTTGGTTTTTAATTCAATATTTTTCAATTTTTTCTATTTCAATTATTCTTATTCAAATTCGATATTCATTATATTAATTCTATTTCGATTATTCAGCGATTCTTATTCAATGATACATATATTCTAAAATTATTCAATAACAAATTATGATAATAATTAACAGAAGGAGGACAAAGTCGAATCACATACTAAACCGTTTTTTTAAAGATTTGGAGGGAGCAAGACAAGATAAGATTTTACAACCAAAAATAACTATCATTTACCAAGACGAAACTATGACAGATTTTATGATCAAAATAGATGGGAAACTCCTTGAACACGAAAGATTTACGTCTAAAGAGAACTCTAGGCGGGGTTCCTGTAGAGGGTGGAATGTTGAACATGGATTATTATTTTATTATAATGGTTATTATTTAGCGCAAATTTTTGTATCTTACATTCATTAAATTAACACCATTTATTATACCTTATATATACATTCACTTTATAATAATATAATGTTAGTTAGGTATAATATATTAACAAAATTACAAAAAAAACAAATTTTTGAATCCCCAAGGTATCATTATTAGCTCTAAAAATATTTTGATTTGTATCGTTTTTTTAAATAATCTTAGTAAATCAAACTGATTGTTGTTATTCTTAATATTAATTCCTGTAGTCAATCAATATCACTATATAAATTATTATTAGTTGATATGTTATATATTTTATTGAGATTTATGAGTATATATAAGGTTATAGTAACTCGTTTTGCGTCATTCAGAGTTAAGTCAGGGTCGTAAATACTGCCCACCCTCCAACACAAAATTTTGCTGGACCTTCGAAAGAAAAAAATTTATAATTATATTCTTGGATGTTTTAGGTGACTAAGTATAAAATATCGACCTAAATTATGATTATAATTATAATCACTATTAAATTTAGTCATTTATTACAAATTAATTATATTTTACTATATTGTATGCATAAATAAAATCTAATTTATTTGGTAGACTGTTTCAAGAATCTAATTTTAAAAATAGCAAACTCAGTATTATTAGCAGATGAGAAGACAGCGACTGCAATTTTTTTAAAAGGTCCTACAGCGCCTTCCAAGATCAAATTATATAGTCACTATCTTGGTCTAAGAACATATATAACATTTAGAAACTTAATCATTTTAAACTTAACGAGTAATTTAAAATAATATACTTTAAGATACGAGTATAAATATATCATTTTAAAAAAAACATAAATAGCTGCAAATAAAATATCTTATTTTGAAAAATATAACTAACTGGTCATTAAGCGCTCCTGCAGAAGGAGTTTTTTTAGGCTAAAGAAGCTTATTTTTGGAGAAAATCTAGCCCGCTCATTTATCAGTTGGTTTTCAACAATCAAAAAATACAAAAATATTATTCTTAATGAAGAAAAATAAATTATTATTTGGAAATTTAACTATTAAGTTAATTTTACGGATATAAGGATGTAATGGAAATCTAGTTTCTACTTTTCAAACTGGTATATAAATTATCAAGTTATAATTCTCAATAAACATAGAAAGGAAAATCGGAAAAACCCCTTACAAATATTCCGATAGGTTAAAATAAAAAATGGCAGAATTGTTTTATAAAAACAATAGTAAATGGAGTCTATAACTGATGAAAGCAAGCGACTAACTAAGAGGTTCAGGGAGAGATGGGGGAGGGGGGGGGATTAAATAAATAAATAATATAATATTTTAATAATATATTCGGCAGGATCAAAGCCCTTTGACTTTCTTCCAAATAAACCACATTTTGGAAATATTCCTATTATCATTGTTTGCCATAAAAAAATTACAATTTCTAAAATAGATGGAATATTTACAGGTAGGTGAAAGATTTTGTTATAGTAATTGATTATCTTCTCCCCAAAAAACTTGAATATACATCTGGCGAGATACAAAGAACCTAATTTTTAAAAAAGGATATTTGTTCTGCCGTTGTAATTAACCTTATGCCCAATTTGATATTTTCCTGCCGGCGTACGGTTGTGCAGTTTTGTGCAGATGTGATTTAATATATTTGTAAATACAAATTTATCATCAAGTAAATTCAGACACGTTATTGATATAGTTTTTTTTTGGGGAATTAAAGATAAAATTTATTAGAACTAATCATATTTGAAAATATAATAATTTCGAACAAAAATAATAAAATATTGGAAAATATAAAAAAAAATTAAGAGCGAATATAATATGGTTAAAAATATAGGTTTTTATCCTCCATAATGAAGAAAAGGCCAGTTAATTTATGCTTATCATTGTCAAAATATACAGTAATTTAATGTATTAAATACATTTTAAAGTATGCAATGCTTCCATTATATTTCTCGGAGGATTATCTATAAAAATGAATTTTTTAACCATTTAAATTCTGTAATTATGGCATTTAAGATATATTTATATCCTCTGAATAAAATTTATCGAAATATTTAATTTTCCAATATTGATATATATCCTCAAAATCAGAGAGAGTTACGAGATATAGTATTTGTAAATTGGATAGAGCCAATTGAAAAATCACAAATCTTTTATTGATTTGAGTCAAAATTAAATCCAAATGGAATAAAAACTATTATTTTATAATGATCCTCAATTGAGTCCATGTTAATATAGGAACGGTTTGTTTGTCGTTAAGTTGAGGCTTGTGAGAATCACAAAATCATATAACTTCGCTTTCACCTATACAATCACATAAATCTCAAGAAATCTCTGGTCAATATTGTCTCTTGGTCTTCTAAGCTATAAAATATTATTCGCGATTCTCATATCTTTAACCAAATCCATTTTTTTAAAAAATATTCCAAAAATTGTTGTGTAACAAATAATTTAATAATACATCAAAAATCGGCAGTTATAATAAATCGAATAATATATCAGCTTCAGATGAAATGTGTGTTTATAGTAATTCTGATATTTCTCCAAGGGCAGACAAAATTAGCACAAGTCTCAGAAATAATTATATTCAGCAAATTCTTTGGATATCTAAAGATCACTTTGACTTCTTAAGCAACTTTTCCGTTTTTTAACGCAAAATTTTTTGTTCTTCTTCTGTAACGCGACAATACCAACCTTGCAACAATAATAACTAGGCTAAAAAAATATTTAGTGGCAGAAATAAAAAAAAATAAACATTTATTGGCTGTTTTTTTTAAAACCATTCATAGAAAGAGAGAAGGTAAATACTTTTGCTCAAAAAAAAGAAGAAAATTAAAAAAATAGCCAATGAAAATCACACATATCGGATTGTATATAATTTCTAACTATGAATTCAAAATTCTTTTTGAATCTTAGCATGGAGGACCTGATTTTATCAAATTATTCATGATCACCAAATTTTTCTCTTGATAACGTGAATTCCAGAAGCTAATTTTTTTTTTACAAAAATTAGACCTTGATATTTTAATTTTAAAATCAATATAATAAGTAGTAATATCACAATTACACGGTAACGATGAAGTGATTTTAAATTTTCAAAGGTGGTAAAATAAATTATAATAACGTTCAAAATATATATTCACAAAAAAAAAAATAGATATACTATTAAATTTAATGAGCTTGCGACATTTTATTTCCATCTTATACAAGATAATCTCTTCCTTACACTTGTAGAATTCCCTCCAACCATTATCTACGCCATTGATTTTACTACTAAAAACAAATGAAAAATACAGGCAATAACGCTTCATATTATTTTGAGAAGATCTAAGAGATCTGCCCAAAGGGGGGGGG